TGTTCTCTTCCACCTTTGCAAAAAATTCGAGCTTCAAACATGAACGTGATATTGCTTAGCGGCAGTGATAGGCAGGACGATGACACCTATCTATACTAATATGTATATAAAACTACAGTGGTTTTTACGGATGTTCCGTTATAACTACTGAACCATGCATCCGATTGACTTGAAACTTGGTATCCATGTAGAAAATACATATACTTAATGGATAGGCTAATATTTATATGAGTGTTGGACTCCCTACACCAGTTGCGGGGACGTTAATGATGAGAATCTTTGTGGGGGGTGAGACATACTAATGTTAATTTTAAATACCCAGCGAAGCAGCCCGGTACAGCTAGTATTTTTATAAGTACATGCTGTTTTCATCACAACTATTATTATTTAAATGAAATAAATTTCAGTTTTCATTTTATAGCACGTAGTGTAGTAGCAACGAACAAAATAATAATATCAAGAATTTGCATAAATTGTTAACATTTTGGAGAATGACTACATAATGATTTTAATCGAAAAAAGTATTGAGCACATGTCGAAATAAATATTTACTTTTAAATATAAAATATATAATAATATAGTAATGCCAACATGTTGTTATTATTAAAAATGTAGGTAGATCTTTTCTAAGTCCATCAATCCTAAATATACTCTTAAGTTCTCTACCTTATTCCATTTTATATTTAATTAGTTAGGGAGCTTATCGTGCTTATTAAAACGAAGCAGCTTATAAAATTTAGTTAAATAAAATAAGCAAATTGAAGTCGCGGAGCAAGCTGAGCAAAGCTGATGGATGCGAAGAAGATAAAAGAAACAAAAAGAACATCAAAAGTATGTATCGATGATCTAATATAATTCTTAAGAAAATGATTTTGTATTCATTTAAATATTTCACGGGAACCTACGATCTTAGACAGGCGAAGCTCTTAGCAGCGTAAATACATAAATTTTTTAAGTTTATAATTAACTAGCGGCCCTCTCCGGCTCCGCTCAGGTCATTAACAAAAATTTCAACGATATTTGACGTTGTTTTATTTTTATAAATAAAAGAACACTTATTGTGGCATAACTATAATACTTAGACATATGCTGTCGCAACATTTTTTGTAAAGAATAATGTGTTCTACAAAGTCGAAGTACATTATTTTATTCTATCATCAATAGTTTTCGCAGGGCACGCGATGTAAAGAATATTTCTGGTAATTTTTTTACACCTTGGGTTACATTATTGGAGTTTTAGTAAGGATCCCTAATTTTTTTCAAAAAAGATTATAGCCTATGTCACTTGGGAATAGTGTAGCTTCCAAACAGTGAAAGAATTTTTAAAATCGGTTCAGTAGTTTCGGAGCCTATTCAATACAAACAAACAAACAAATCTTTCCTCTTTATAATATTAGTATAGAAGTGTAGATATATCCTGAGTCCTAAGACCTATGTCCATCCGCATAGCATTAATCCACTACCGCACTGTGGTTGCACTAAATTAGAATGAGGCGAGCGACCGGCTGACGTCATACGCAAATTCCCACTATATTTTGGGATTAATTAATAGAGCCAACAGGAGTCCCATTTATCTCGGCTGCACCGGACTCATTCTACTTCCAGTAGACGTGGCTTACAACGCTAATTTGTGTGACAAGATTACAGAGTTACGATTTAGTGTCCCCCAAATTCCAGGAGCTTGATTCCACAAAAAACGAACAGGCTCAACAATATTAGTATAGCAATATAGTACAGAATGTACAGAATTCATAATTTAATTCATTATTCAATTAAATTTAATCGATAAGCTTGGCAAAGTAGGTTTGTCGCCTCAATATTTTAAAATTAGAAACGTATTATTAGATAATCTATAAATGTCAATATTATAAAAAAAAGTTGCACATATCTTACAGCACACCTCAGTTACTGGAACCCGCAAAAACATGAAAGTCTTGGTACAAAGACATATATGTACATTTTAAATCAGTACACATGATTTCTTCGTACATATTCGTACTAAATAGGGTAAATGACAGAAAAATTGCAACGCTTTCAACTAGAAGTTTGTTCAAAGAAAATACACTAGAAACTAAACATTCCCATTAATGTTATTGAAAATTTATATTTATATTAAATCACGAAACAATGACAAATAGTACTAATTATGTCAAATTAAAATAGTAAACTATTTTATTTATAAATATTTTAAATTGACGTTCTAATCAACCTATGCGTCTCAAGTGTTTTTAGAAAAATAAAACGTAATTAAAATTAATTTATCAAAAATCAAACGAAAACTTAAGACCTCTGTTTAATCAAGCATCGGTAGCAATACCGAAACATTTTAAAACTATCAAAAACACAAACATAACTATTTAAACAAATCATTATTTTGTTTGTAACAAATATATTTTCCAGGTACAAAGAAAATTCAAAATTAAGAAAAACAGTCTTTGAACTGTGTAGCTCTTGGCTTTTAATGTTTTCGATTTTTCTCAGAAAACATCATTTGGGGTATTATATTTATTACCTTTGCTACGGACTTAATGATTATGACGTTTTATAACGGCTAGAAATCACGATACGATAATCATGAATACAATCAGACTTAAAGTGTGGGACAACTGCCATTACAATACAAGTGATTGATATAAGAGAGAGAGAGAGAGAAAGACAGAGAGGAGAGAGAAAGAGACAGAGAATACACTTTATTGCACACCAAATCACAATTAACATTAGAAAACAATCAACAAGCAGATGAGCATTTCTCAAAATAAATGCACCACCAATAAAATAATGTACTAAAATAAAAATGCTAAACTAAAGCATTTTTTTTGTTTCCATTTGTAGATAGGTGTCTAAAGATTTTGAATATGAGGTTTGTTCTGAGGTTTAATATGTAATAAAGTAGAGAAATGTGTAGAAATATACCAAGGGCGGAGAAATATTCTTATTTTGTTACCGTCTATCAATTACGTTAATTAAAACACCAAATCAATTTCGTCAACTTTTATGCATTTCAATAGGGTGACATAACCATCATTTTACGTNGGACACTGCACTTTTCATACAACTGGTTGAAGCTGATTTATGATATATATTTTTAATGAAAAAATCTCATTGTATTTATATCTGTTTTTTTCCTTTCTAATAAGTAGAGTAGTTATACTGCTTACACAATTTATAAAAAGTAGTAATGAACTAATATATTAGCCGGAACAAAATATTAAAAAAATGGGACAGAGGCTAAAGTCTATTGTGCAATAATTTTGAGAAATGCTCAGATACATTTGTACAATAGGCGCTATACTCGAATATAGGTGTAGTAACTTTTTTGAACGTTGTTACCAGTTGTTACCAACAAATACAACAATAAGAATACGCCTCAAATGCGTCACACATTCGCGTACTCATTTCTTGATCGACACAATGAAGGTTCAAAAGACGATCGAAGGTCTTTAGGTCATTGCCATAGTCACTGCTAGGCGGATTACATAGCGATCAATCACTGAAGTATTCAAGAATTACCCGAATTACCCTCAATTACCCGTTTATAAATTTAAGCCTTCCGAACCAGTAATACCCTGTAAGCGTACAGGTCATTACCCTTTCCGTGAGAGCTGACTTAATAAATATTAATCGTTGAATCGTGATGTCGAAGAAATAATCAATACGAAAATCTTTTATCTATAAAGTTTCATCAATGTTCAAACAATACAAAGTAAACTTAATTTCTCTCTGCAATAAAATTGAAAACGCTATGAAAGACAAAATAAAAGTTATCGCCTGCAGTATTGAGTCAGAGCAATTGCCTCGGGTATTCCCTGCGTCCAATGTTTACTTGCTTCCTCGTATTCTGTGTCAAGACTACTCAAGACTGTAAATGCGTTCTTACTGTATGCAGTATCGTAAGTGTCCTTAAAATAAATAAAAACTTTAATCCATCTAATAGATAGTTTATAAGACGTTTTATTAGAAGTTTTCAACGTAACTACCAACGAATCCAAGATGGATTAATTGAAACTCGGAACAATACAATAAATTTATTTAATTTAATATTTTTAAATGTTTTATCTTTATTTTTAAATTATAGTACATTTAAATATCTTTAAACGGAAACAGAAAATGGCGTGACATTATATATAAAGTGGGTTCTCAAATAGGGACGCACGCTCGGTAAATTAATAGTGAAATGACATTTTAACGTTATTATAGACTGGTAATTTCTCCAAAATATATGTCGTTCTTCTGGAAGGTTCTAACTAAGGGATATATGCTCGTCCATCTGTCTAGTTTATTAAAAATCCTAATCATATTTATTAAATCAAAAAATCTACTTCATCATCTAATTTTCACGCACAATATACTAGTTGAAGTGAAATAAATCAGTGCAGAATAACAATGTCCTGAATTTTTTTATTTTTATCTAAGCAATAAATAAAAAAAAAAATCTGACCATTAAGACACTTTAAAGCTCTTTTAATTAAAGGCAAATTACAATGATCCTCGATGGTATTTTATCGAGAAAAAATATGCTCATAGCAATTTCTTCTGATTTTGTGTAGACAGACAGTAGCAGACATGCAGGTAAATAAACAAAATCTGTTTGCCATCTCATTAAATTATATGAAGCTGTCAGCGCAAAAGTGGCTTAACTCACATTTTGTTATATTCAAGCTTATATGTATATTGGTTTTATTTAAAATATATTAAATTTTGATGCAAAATCGGCCTATCCATAGTTTCACCCATAGATAACAGATAGCTTTGTAAACATTATTTTTGCACGTATTGTTTTTTTACATACTCAAATTAAAAGCCATGAAAATTTAAACCTAACAGCCTCCATACTAACTATGGTAAGCTTAGGCCACATTTGCGCTGATGGCCTCATATTCAAAAGATAGATTCAATCAACATTTAAAATATTGCTTAAATTACTCAACGCTTAGAATATAACTACCACATAAAATATATATTTATACATAATGAGTTAACAGTTACTAAATACTATATTCCTAATACTTTCCTTTATTAATGAGACCGTATGGCCTTAAGAAATACGACGGTATTGTAGAAGGCACTATGAGACGACCGATCAACGACAAATCTTTTATGACGCTCTTTGAACCCGTACCAAAGTAATAAGCTTGGATCACGAGTTTCGAACAGTAACTAGGATTCGTTGACCAAATATCAGTGGTCAATTGATACGTAATATGCTTTACCTTCTTCTCCCCGCCTGAAGGATTGTAGTATGTACGGTCGGCCCAACGCGCAGCCATGACTGCCGCCTCAGCGTCTGTACAACGGTAAACAGTTGTCCAATCCGAAGCGTGCATATCGAACCATTGGTCTTTCGGCACCTGTCTATTGTTGTCCGGTATGCCAAGCTCCCAACCATCTCCGCCGGGCATTTCTAAAACCCAGTAATCCGATGTCATAATCGCGGCATGCCCAATCAATCCCCCAACACCTCTACCCGTAATCAATATGTCTCCTTTCTTGACCGTGTTAATGAACTCCCTCTTGTTATCCACCGTGCTGCGCTTGCTCATTTTCCTTTGGAACAGCGACTCCTGAGTATCAGACAAGATCCCGAAGTTGTTCATAACAAGCCAATCATGGTAATTAATCGGTTCGCTGCCGTTCAAAGACCTGTACTCTTTGTAAATGTCTCTGAAGATATCCCTTTCATCTTTCCCGAAAGATTCCAATGAATATTTTTCGGAATTGATTATTCCCATGCTGACGCCGGTGCGATAGGCTTCGGAAACTGAAAACGATAAATTACAAGGACCGGTATTTTACTGAACATTTGTTCGAAATTCGGACTTGAAAAAAACGTGACGAATTAACGCGTTGGTCACGGTAGGTATGTTTGAATATATACGTATGTCCATCTTTAAAACTGATAAAGACCGAGTAGATCACATGAAGCCTATAAATAATTACAAAATTCAATAATTCACTTACCATTGCTGTATATATCGCAACTGACCAACTGAGAAGCTGATTCTAGCAACATCAGAACTATCAGCCCCCCAAAATTGAGTACTGTCTTCATATTGTATTTTGATACACTAGTAATCAATCTTACTGAACATGAATATTTATATAAAGGTCTAACTTAACTCTTAATGTACAAGGGGATGTCCTGATGATAGCAGTTGTTTTGCGAAATAATTGACTCAGACAAACATCAAGAATCACATTGGCTCTCGCGTTTGTTCTTACGGTTTTAATTAAGCCAACAATCTGTTGCAATAAAGACGGGGTTAAACTCCGAGCGACATAATTACGTTTTAAAAGATAAGCGATCTTGTTATTATTTATTTTAAAATCAACTTATCACTGTTACCATACTTTGTTGTTTATATTGATTTTATCTCTCTGTTCGACAAGCGAATCTCCCAAGGGCCGAAGGTCAATCTGTCAACATCCAAGTCATTGTTATCGGCTGTTTGAAGATGTGATTGACATGGNAATAATTCACTTACCATTGCTGTATATATCGCAACTGACCAACTGAGAAGCTGATTCTAGCAACATCAGAACTATCAGCCCCCCAAAATTGAGTACTGTCTTCATATTGTATTTTGATACACTAGTAATCAATCTTACTGAACATGAATATTTATATAAAGGTCTAACTTAACTCTTAATGTACAAGGGGATGTCCTGATGATAGCAGTTGTTTTGCGAAATAATTGACTCAGACAAACATCAAGAATCACATTGGCTCTCGCGTTTGTTCTTACGGTTTTAATTAAGCCAACAATCTGTTGCAATAAAGACGGGGTTAAACTCCGAGCGACATAATTACGTTTTAAAAGATAAGCGATCTTGTTATTATTTATTTTAAAATCAACTTATCACTGTTACCATACTTTGTTGTTTATATTGATTTTATCTCTCTGTTCGACAAGCGAATCTCCCAAGGGCCGAAGGTCAATCTGTCAACATCCAAGTCATTGTTATCGGCTGTTTGAAGATGTGATTGACATGGCATCCAAACTTCACATCACACTTACAATCAAACTTCTTCCACGAGACCTTCCACCACATAGCACCCTTGCACGCCAGACCAACTGGTGGTTGGGCGTTGCCAAGGAAACTCCTGGACCCCCCTGCTGTATAGTCGGTCTAACCGGAGTGATATGAGGCCACAACACGGAGTCAGCGGCAGGCTCTACGCTAACTATGTGCTGATTGTTCACGCTGCCCAGGACTCAAGTCCCACATTATTATGTTTATATTTCGATTCGGCTGTGACCGTGCATACATACGCCCTAGTTTACCCGACTTTACATCACCCTTGCTCCGTGCTGCAAGAAGAATATGCCCAAATGGCCGTGGCCATACACATACAACCTTCTCAGCTAATTTACCCTGCTTCACATCACCCTTGCTCCGTGCAGCAAGAAGGATATACCCAGGTAGAGGGGTTCGCCCCGAGGCCCGTTCCGTGCCCGGTAAGGGTGCACGACGATTCCGGTATATACTGCTCCGATTCCATATAATGTGAGATAAACTCAAAAGAACAACGAAAATTTTAAGAAGTCAAGACAAGGTTGCGAATAGGAACTACATAATAATATACCAAACACTCCCACTACGCATCCAATTTTCCTTATAGAGATATTTAAAAGTATTAATAGCTTCCTCATCATCAAACTGATTACGTTCCGGTTTTCATACAAACGTTTTATTTAATATAATTTGCTCAAATAAATATACGAAACATATAGCAAGAAAATTAGGCGTAAAATCCTAGCGTCACAGAGTTTTCTCTTTTGTTTAAAATATATAGCTATTGGGGCTGGTGTGTATGGTGTGTACTTGTTTTTGTCACGTGTTTGTGTAATGGTGAGCGATGGACTATATGCAGATGAGCTTACAATCCACTAGGTGGTGCTTTGCAGTCACCGGAGCCTAGAAAATCAAAACGCAAATGCCACTCCTCTCATTGACGTCTTATGTCGAAGTCTGAATTGAACTGAATAACGTCCCTAATAAGGTGGACTATATGAATGCATCGCGGCAGAAACAGGCAGAAACTTAAATAGGTTTGAAGGGTGGGGCAGCCGTTGTAACTATACTGAGACCTCAGAGCTTATATCTCAAGGTGGGTGGCGCATTTACGTTGTAGATGTCTATGGGCTCCAGTAACCACTTAACACCAGGTGGGCTGTGAGCTCGTCCATCCACCTAAGCAATAAAAAATAAATAAATAAAGGCAGAATACCCACATGAGAATAGTTCATAAACAAAACACCGCCCTACCTTAGATTTGTCCGTTTATCTCATAGATACAAGCTTCTGCTCTCTGAACATTTCCGGTGTGAATACAAACTAGATAGATACGAAGATCTCACAATTCCCCAGAGACTCACAGGTAGTTCGAAATGTCGTCGACGTTAAGGGCCGTATCGAACGTGGTTCAGACGCTGCTGAAATCCGGTATTGCCAGGAGACCATCAAGAAATTGCATTCACTCTTGGATCATTAATAGAGAAGACGATGGTTAAATGTAAAATAAAATTTATTGTTCATTAAATACTAGCTTGAAGGTGAAGCTAGTCTAAGAAAAGAAGCCTAAGGTACTCCTTTTATCATCAGCTACCTATCAGTGAAAGTCCCGTCAAAATCGGTCCAGCCGCTCCAGAGATTAGCCTGAACAAACAGGCAAAAATTTTTAAAAATTTTATTTGGTATATGTACTACGTACACATACTTACTCATTTAGTAAAAAGTGGTTATTTTATTATTACAAACAGACACTTCAATTTTATTTATTTGTATAGATTGGCATGCATACTCTATTATTCCCTAATGTATGGAATACAAATATGTTTTGGATCCACTCATGCTTCACATATCTTTACCTTTGACAGAACTATGACAAACTTTTCCTGGAGCGCCAATACCAAAATTTTAATATAGCAAAATTATAGACAAATAGCCAATTTAAATTTTTATGTATATAGAAAATAGACGGTAGCAACTACTGTTTGTTTGTTCAGACTGGCATTAGTAGAGCACTGGAGCACTCCAGTTGAAGTACTTAGTTATGTTATTGTTATCTATACTAGGTAACCTATCGAGTTTCAAAACGTATTCATGCAAACATTTAGAATACAAAACATATTCTTGCATCAATATTATGGCGAACATATTAATGCAACAATTTTGAAATAAAATTTTGCGGATTTTTTTAAGCTATTGCATAGATTTTATCACGGGCTTTGAGCGCGGCGATTGAATCAAGAAATTCCGTAACGAAAATAACCTGACACCCCCACTACGCCTACTATGTAGCTCGCGTTCAACACATTCACACATTGCGCTTGTGTAGTGTTTGTGAATAAGCGCGTGGCGTGACGTCACACTGCATGCGCATCATGAAAATCTGCCCATCTCTCTCTCGCGCGGTCTAGCTTATGAGTGTCAAGGGGACAGTTAATGTTTTGCTTTTATTAATGTTTAATATAGCGTGGTCTTGTTTTATTATTATTTTAATATTAAATTATCATTTTCTAATTATAATTGCATAAGTTGATAAAAAATAATATGCAATAGCGTTACCGCGGCAGTTCCCGAGTGCCACACGTTCGTTTTTTGCTACACTTTGTTATTCTTGCCTTTTGACTACTAAAATGATGTTATACAATTACGTAACTTCGATTATGCTATAATAGCCGGCAAACTTCTTGAGCATTTGTTGACGTAGTGGGGGTAAGTTCGCGCATGGTACACTCACGTGCAAAAACATTACTTACTCTGCGTCATAATGCTATTAACTTATTAAAATCAACATATGTATTTATTTATATATTTATTAGAACATCAACAAAACATCAACAAACACATCAACAAGCTGGTATTTGTAATATTTTTTTCGTTATCATAATCTTGACCATCATCATCATCACTGTTTTCATCACCCGAGTCGCTATCATCGTGATTAGTCGACATAGGGCTCATCAGTGTAGTTTACAACTCGGTCGATTCGGTCTTCTTTTTTGTCTATAATTAATTATTTTTTGAAGATATTCGATTCGTAGTAATCGAATGTTACTTTTTTCAATTACCAGCTTCCGATTATTTTCTGTTCTTTGTTTCCATCTAAAGCTTAGCTCTTTCATAATACGTCGTAAGCTTCATTCCGAGCCATTAAAATTTATATCTTCTTTAAATTTTTCGAAGCCTTTCTACGGTACGGAGTTTCGCTGCTTGTTATGTAGTTATTATGATTACATCTTTTTATTACAGATTGAACGAAACTATCCATTCCGGTAACTTTCTTCTTCCCTGATCTTTTCTTACCCGGAGTCCGAAACACGGCGAGCAAGCCANATTATGATTACATCTTTTTATTACAGATTGAACGAAACTATCCATTCCGGTAACTTTCTTCTTCCCTGATCTTTTCTTACCCGGAGTCCGAAACACGGCGAGCAAGCCAGAGCCTTTAGCTTCCTTAATAATGCACCTAACAGTACTCACTGATGGTTTTGTTACTTCCGAAGTCTGTTTTAATTTTTCCATATCATTCTTGCCCTGTTTTATAATGAAGCAATAGACGTCGTCACAATTTTTCTACCCTTTCTTTTGAATACTACACCGGTTTGTCGCGGCATAGTGTATGTTTTATAAAAAATCAACAAACACTCAACAAATAGCAATGGCAACAAAGTCCACCAGTAATTATAACAAATAACTTAACGATTAATAACGATAGACTTTC